GAGAGAGAGAGAGACTCGACTGTGTATCAGCGCTCGCGAAATCATGCGTCTAATGCGACTGGATTTTTCGGCGAACGATCGTGCGAGAAAGTTGTCAACGCTTAGTTATTTCCGAGCCGAAGGAGTTGAAGGAGTTCTACGTTCTTACGAAATCTGCATGTTATTGCATAAACTTTGTGAATTGGAAAGTATATTCGTGGATTTTATAATCGGACCTTAAGACGAAATTTCTGCTTGAATTTTTCAATTAAACCTTGCGCTAAGATGGATTTCGCTTGGACAGATTGGCTTGAAAATTATTCTGACTCAATAAAATGTTGAGCAATAACATGCAAGATTGACGGGAATATAGTATTAATTTTATAAACGAGTACTCGTGTGTAGAAATAGTAAGAGAGGGATTAGCATGTGTCATTAATTTAATATTTTCTTAAATCAGATTAACGATTCGACAGATTGACTGCGTTAATAGATAGCAATTTGGATTTGTTTGTGAAAGTTCTTCAGAAGTATAAAAGATATCGCGAATAAAATGTTAGCGTAACAATTAAAAATACGCGTAAACATTGTAAAGATTGTATTCGTGTTTCTCTTTTTTAGCGGGCGAGTGTGAAATCGGCATCGATCGCAGCTCCCGATAATTCGCAGAGGTGACAATAAGAGGGCCTGCCGTAAGGATGCTGTACGCTTTCACGAGAATCGAGAGGCCACGAGTCGTATCACAAACTTGCAGCAGCGTAACCAGCTGAGAATGTCGGAGCAAAACGGGCCCAGCGAGGGCCCAGGGCCAGGGCCCGGTTCTGATTCGGGCTGGTGGCCAACCACGCAGACGTGGAAATCGTCAGCGGCCGCCTCGTCGTCGACTTCGTCAACTCCCACTTCAGCAGCCGGTTCAGCGTCCATCTCTGTCTCTTGCTCCGCGTCCAGCTCATCTTCGACGAGCTCCTCCACTTCAACCAACTCGTCTGCGACCTGCTGTCCCTCGTCCTGCATCGGCGTATCCTGTACGATGAGCCCAAGTCGCTCCACGGAGACGGGGAAAAACGTATCTGTCACCACCATTAACGTACCGCCTAATCAAGAAATGCATGATGGTATTATTTTCAACTCTTTATAATATTCTCAACTTTTTTAACATAGCAATCGTTTGTGATTATTCAAAGTACAGTTGTGTTTGTCTTAATTAAGTACAAAGCTGTTTAAATATTAAGTATTAATAAAAGAATTTAGATTAATTAAAGAATGTAAATTTTTTGATACGTCATAATAAAGAAATAATTTTTGTTAATTTTATTAGTAATAATAATTGCAAAGCTGTATATCATATTAATAATTTTAAAAGAATTTTTATTCGTAAAGTTTTGTGTTAACATCGAAATCGATCGATTAAAAAGTTTAAAAATAAGTTTTTTTTTTTCGAAATAGTGAAATTTGTAGTATTTCTTCTTGTTAATACAAAAAATTTATAATACTCTGACTACATACAGTACAATTATGATTTTAGGTAAAGGGGTATGTAAATATCTCGGGAGTCAAAATAGTGTAACCGTATCGGTGGTATCGGCCTCGGTACTAGGATGTGGAAATGTTCCGACAAGCGGAATCTGCACGAATACAGGACCGCATAGTATCGGCATTGGAATTGGTGGCATCCTCGCTGCGAACGCGGCTGACATTGATGATCCCGAGGACAGTGATGGCGAGATCAGCAAGATTGACTTTAGAGGTGTCAACCTACGCTCAAAGAAGAAACGCGACGTTTCGGGTAACCAGAATGGTGACAAAATTGGTGACGGAGACGCAAACGGCGACGGCGGAGGATGTTGCGATGACAATTCGCAACAGCAACCCGAGAGGCCCATGTCATGGGAGGGTGAACTATCGGACCAAGAAATGTCTTCCAATACAATTACTAATCAGGTTAGGCTTATTGAATTGTATTAAAAATCGTCGATAAAAATTTCATTAAATTTGATTGCTAGTACTTAACAATATTCATAGAATTATCTATGTATCATAGAAAGACTTTTAATATATCATGAATAGAGTAATTTCCGCGAAATAGATAGAATCATTTTCTTTTAATGATAATGAAATTCTATTTCTTTTGCTTGAACAATAAAAACACAACTAATATATTATATATCAAATAATCTGTTTTATCATTTATGTCACGATTTATAAGATGATAACGCCAAACTTTGAATATTAATAAAAGAGAATTTTTTTATTAATTAATTATTAATCTTAGGACCATAATGAGGAAACGTCTATGGAGGGGGTTCAAGTATGCAGCACAAGTCCTGGACCTATGGAACAAAAGTTTCCTATTAAATCAGAGCCGGATTTTCGATCTAGCCCAGGTTTTACAATAGGATCCTTTCACGACGGCGGCCTGCCCATGACACACAACCAGCAACTACAGCAGCAGCAACAGCAACAACGCGGTATCGAAAATCTTGAACAGACTCAACAGAGCGACCTACCGCTTCTCGTAGGCAAGCTTCTTGGTGGATACAACAACTCAACGCCTAATCATAGTCCTGTCCTCAATCCGCGACATCATTTAACTAAACACAGTCATACTAGATCGCAGGTGAGCTGATACAACAACTTAGCAAAGTACCGTACTAATACGTTAATCTGTTAAATTGTCATATTAAGCATTTAATTGTACGCACAGACAGTTTAACTTTCGAACTCTCGCAGGTACCGTCACCAGATTCAGCCATTCATTCTGCGTATAGCGTCTTCAGTTCACCGACACAGAGTCCTCATGCGGCACGGCATTCCGCCCTTGGAGCGGGAAGTCCGATACCCTCGTCATCGCTGTCCCTTTCTCGGCACAGCTTCAACAACTCAACTTCCTCGCTATCCCTATCGCTATCGCATTCGCTTTCGAGGAACAACTCTGATGCTTCCAGTAGCTGTTATAGCTATGGCTCGCTTAGCCCGCCCACGCATTCACCTGTCCAGCAGCCGAGACATCCACATTCACATTCGCAACATCATCAGCATCAAGTGGCGCAAGGTAGTCCGCTACATCTACCAACCTCATCCGCAGTCGCCGCACATCATTATTCATCTTCTTCCGTGCCAGGCTCGGAACTATCGCCGGATGGTCATCCGGTCGCGGAGGATCAGGAAGATTGCAGGATACCCTCGGCGCCATCGGGTATCTCCACCAGGCAACAATTGATAAACAGTCCTTGTCCGATTTGCGGTGATAAGATAAGCGGCTTCCATTATGGCATCTTCTCGTGCGAATCGTGCAAGGGATTTTTCAAGCGCACCGTCCAGAATCGCAAGAACTATGTGTGCCTTAGAGGCGCAGGCTGTCCGGTCACTGTGGCCACGAGAAAAAAGTGCCCGGCCTGCCGCTTCGACAAGTGCCTCAACATGGGTATGAAACTCGAGGCGATCAGAGAGGATCGTACCAGAGGCGGTAGAAGCACTTATCAGTGTACCTACACCCTGCCGGCAAATCTCGTTGGTAGTCCTGCCGGTAGTATGAGCGGTGAAAAACTAACGACGGCAGGAAATTGTAGCCCGGCACCGGCTGGTAGCGAGCATCATTATTCCGTCAGATATCATTCGAATCATTCTCACAAGATGCAAGTGGTACCTCAACTCTTACAAGACATCATGGATGTGGAACATCTTTGGCATTATAATGATAACGATCGAATAAGCGGCAGTGGGGTACATGGGAATGCAAGGAATACTGGAAATGACATGCTGCTCGGTGGGCCTGGAAGTTGTTCAGCGTCTGGTGGAACCGGAACCACAACCGGTATTGGCGTCGGAAACAATGGAGCTGCAGTAGAATGTTCGTCGAATGACTCTAGTAATGTCGATACTAATAACAGAAGGGGAGAGACTGCGAGCCCCGCCAGTTCGACTTCCACGGGGACGCCCGATCAACATTCCACAAATGGCAATACCACCAGTAATAGTAATTCTCAAATTGCCAATAATTCCAATGGCAATTCAGCGCAGCATCAGGACTTTCTATCTAATTTGTGCAACATCGCGGATCATCGGCTCTATAAGATCGTCAAGTGGTGCAAGAGTCTGCCGTTATTCAAGAATATCTCGATTGATGATCAAATTTGTTTATTAATCAATTCTTGGTGCGAGTTATTACTTTTCTCTTGCTGTTTTCGCAGCATGAGTACTCCTGGTGAAATAAGAGTATCTCTTGGCAAGTCAATTACCTTAGAACAAGCGAGACAGCTTGGTTTAGGGACTTGTATCGAGAGGATGCTCGCTTTTACCAACAATCTGCGAAGGCTGAGAGTAGACCAATACGAATATGTTGCAATGAAGGTAAATGTTTTTCTTTACAACGTAAAGATTTTATATATATGACTTAATTAACTTTTTATTTATAGCGATACTGATAGCGAATATTAACTTATATTTTCTTATATATATATTTTTTTTATAAAAAGGTGATCGTGCTGTTAACGTCTGATACAAGCGAGTTAAAGGAGCCTGAGAAAGTCAGAGCTTCCCAGGAAAAGGCCCTTCAAGCGCTGCAGCAATATACAATTGCGAGGTATCCAGAAATGCCTGCCAAATTTGGTGAATTATTGTTGAGAATTCCAGATTTGCAAAGAACATGCCAAGCAGGAAAAGAATTGCTCAGTGCAAAACGCGCCGAGGGAGAAGGCAGCTCGTTTAACCTTTTAATGGAATTGTTGAGAGGAGATCACTAAATTATCAGCCCAGTGAACTATGCCGTAAGTTTAGCAATAAACTAAAAATAATAAACTAAATAATCTATAATTGTAATAAAGTTGTTTTAAACTAATTATTTTTAACTATTTTTATGGCTACGTTCAGCAGAAAAAGCAGCTTTGCAACTGTTGTAAAAAATTTTGATATGAGGTTTGATTTTGCTCTTAGTTCCTCATGGATCTAACCAATCATATTGAAAAATCCTATAAAGTTGCAAAATTGTTTTTTCTGTTGAATGCAACCATTGGTTGATGCAAGATTGTAATCAGATATCTGTTTTCTTTTCAGATTCCACGCTTATAGGGTCCATAAGCTTAGGGAATCGGATATAATAGATAATCGCAGAGTAAGAAAAGTTAGAAAAAAAGGAAACGACAGATGTATAATGATATCTATAGTGACATTAGTACTTGGTGAGGGGATTGTATTCTTCCTAATTAGGACACGTTAAACTAACAAATATAAAAAGAATTTTTCTATTTTACATTGGAATGCTTTCACACAAGTTGTGTGTATGTTTGCATTCCTGTTTTGAAACAAAACGAATTTCAAAGCGGCCTACATTGTATGCCAGATCCGTATGTTCTGGATGCATACAGGTAGATGCTAATGAGACTGAAAGTTTAATTGACGGAGACATGCAGAGCATTTACTTTTACAATGATAAGCGTATAAATACGAAGATGGTATCAAATAGCATTATAAAGCGCTAAATTTTATAAGATTGATGTAATCTATTTGAACACGAGCTTTATAATGGCAAATCTATAAGCCAAGTTGACTTTTAATTAACGATTATAATAGAACAACCAGTATTGCGTATCGTTCTGCGCTTACTTAAGAACAGAGCATAGCCATGCCTTATCTATCCCGGTTATGAAAGTGTACTTAAAACTGAACACATCAGTCGACCAATTGTCTACTTATAGAGCAGTTAATCATGGAATAATTAGTTATATGCTTAATTAGTATATATATATAGTCCGTGGAATACGTGGTTTTTATCGATCACACAAAATACATTTTTTATTCTCTTTATATATTTTAACAGCTTGCCGACAAAAGAAAAAATGCAAATTTTAGTTGGCATAAGTATCATAAAAAATTTTTGAAGAAACGTCAGCAATATAGCTGCTATCTTTTTTGTAAATATGTCTTTTTTAGGAAAGAATTGGTTAATACTGCTTTTCCGTTTTATTTGTAGAAAGGACTTTATTTTTATTAAGTATTATCAAAGAACGAAAATAAAACGAAAATGGCAAATCAGATTATATG